AAATTACATTCAAAATTGGGCCCAAAAATGGGGGTTCCATATAAATGTCAAAAAAACACCCAATCTACACTTAAATAATCAAAAAATTGAGTTAAAAAATGAAGCCAAATTCCTAGGAGTAACCTTCGACCACCATATGACATGGACACCCCACATTCATAACTTGGTCAACTCATGTCAAAAAGATTTAAACTTAATGCGAGCCATCAGCGGCACAAACTGGGGTGCCGACAAACACACACTCATCAACATATACAAAACTCTTATACTGTCGAGAATGGACTACGCCGCTCCGGTTCTCCACAACCTATCCCCCTGCAACCTCCAAAAACTAAACTCAGTCCAATATAAGGCCCTCAAACTAGCCACAGGCTCGAGGAGTGGTACCTCCCTTAATACACTGCTCCTTATCACAGGCACCTCTTCAATCACCCACAGAATCAACCAAACCACACTCACCTACTGGGCTGGGGCCCAACACAACCCCATCTTCAAACTAATTACAAACAAATACAACAACATAAAAAAATCAACGCTTAAAAAATTCAAAATAAAACCAAGTATCGCTCCATGCCTTACCCACCTCACCAGTCTGCTACATACCCAACAGTTAAACACCATACCTCACACACCTCCCATTACAAGCTACATCCACGACAAACCCCCACCACCCACAGACACCACTTTAGCCTCCACACTACTTCAGGACAGCCATCATCCAAATATTTTAAAAGTCCAAAACTTTGTTGTCAAGACATGTGAGACTTTATTGTAAAATATATATGACGCTAAGCTGTATTTTTAATCACTACTGTACATCCTTATCACTACCGCATTGTAAATTGATTTGACAGCCCATTAATTATTGTATAAGACATTTATAACCTTCATCGGTAATCCCCCTTGGCCGTGTCTGCCATCACATCAACTGGTCAAGGAAGTGCTATTGTTTTTCTGTCTGTCCATTGTTGTCAAAAACTGTATATATATACCTATTAGCTCACATCTAGACACAAAAAGGGTACGAGTCTTCCGACTGTCTGTTGGGACGACCACGAGCAGGATAATGCCGCTCATAGGAAACGCCCTGTGGTTGAGCAGGTACTCCGCTCACTGAGTTTAGTTTTACGCCGCATTTAGCAATATTCCAGCAATATCACGACGGGGGACACCAGAAATGGGCTTCACATATTGTACCCATGTGGGGAATCGAACCCAGGCCTTCAGCGTGACGAGCTCTGAGAAATAGAGAAGTGAACCATCATTTTTCAACAGATCATTAACGCATTTTACATTTGCTTTCACATAGCGTTTGAAGAAAAAGCGTTTGGAGATATTTGGAGATTTTTTAGTAGGTACGTTTTAACCGAATCACCGGGAGATTTGGGGAAGTTGGTACACAGCTGTTTGCAATTTCCGGTTTAGTTTTACGAGAAAATACATTTTTAGCAACTGAACTGTCCATTGTATCTGAACTATACAACCATAGGGTCGTGTCTCACTTAGAAACAGCGTTAGAAAGACATACAGGTATATAAACTCTATTACTATATGAAGGGAAAGGGATGTAACGACGAAACCACCCGCTCCTCAATCAAAGTTAGATCTCACCACCTAAAATACTTGTAAGGCCCCGCCGAGGCCTACGGATCAAAAGCTAGATGATTTCCCTACAAAATGAGCTATAAATGGTCACATTCGGATCATTGTTACAAAAGTTATACCACACGTTTCACCGAAAACAGCTACCTCCGCAGTTCAAAGACGGGGCCTTACAAGTATTTTGTGATTTCATTTTGTTTTTAAATTCTGACACTATGCATACATAATGTATAAAACACCTATTATCCACTTAGTCGGTTGCAGCGTAAATACCAGTCATCATAGTTTGAAATTTAAGATTTAGCCCTTATAAAATGTGTCCATCAGTCAGTGCTGTGAGTCATTATGTATGTTAATTTATTGATCCATTTCTTACAAAAGTTTAACACCATTCAACCTCTAAACGTAAGTAGTCATTTACAGAGATTTGTCTCAACAAACAACAGATCATTCTGACCACCCAAGAGGACGTGCATGATAGAATTACATTGCATATGTATCTTCTTTTGGTAACATTATGTTGACATATATTTCATATACAGACCATATACAATCTAGCTATAGCTTTATATTCTGATTTTCATCCAACACTTCTCGCAGAAAACTTTAGCGTTATGTTAAGAATTAACATAGAAAATGTGTTTAAAGTCATATATGTCTTTGATGACATAAATTGGAATTTAACCCCACAATTATTCCATGTAGATATGTATATGCATTTATTTATATTTTTTACGAATTTAATAGATACTACTGAATAAAGTCACCATCATACAAAAATATCAGACAAAATTCACGACGAAATTATCACGTTGCATAACAAGACTTTCACATTTCGCGCACCGCATCAGCTCCCGGCCGTACTGAATTACATGAGTGAGTGAGTGAGTGAATTTAGTTATACGCTGCACTCAGCAATATTCCAGCTATATGGTGGCGCTCTGTAAATAATCGAGATCAACAGCATGAGCATCAATCTGCGCAATTGGGAACCGACGACATGTGTCAACCAAGTCAGCGAGTCTGACCACCCGATCCCGTTAGTCGCCTCTTACGACAAGCATGGGTTACTGAAGGCTCATTCTAACCCGGACCTTCACGGGTCTGAATTACATGAAAGCAGCCTAATCGGCTTAATACGATAGAGATTTGAGTACATATACAATGAAAATACACTGCAGGTTTAAAAGTGTGATATTCAGACATCTGGTGCCAGACTTCCGATTGCAAAACGTCAATACAACGACAAAACTTGACCTGAAAACTATCAGCATGAGTTAACATGTTTCTTTACTTGCATCTGAACATAGTTCCATACATGTCCACATTCCAAAAATGCTACTGAAAGAAATTTCTCTTCATCGTTAAAATTTAGGGGGGATACAGGCGGAAGTCTTAAAGGAGAATACGAACGAAAACAAAACTTTTGATATATTGTAAAGGATATTCTAAAATCTCACATTCCGTGATTAAAATTGAACAAAAAGTTTGTAAAATAGCAATAAAAACACAAAAACGTACTCGTATTTCCGCCAATTACGGAAACACCCGACAGTTAATGAGCAGAGGGGGTATCACGTGTGTATGTGTGTATGCATGTACATGTATGTATGAACATGTATGTATGTTATTAATGTATGCACGTATGTACATGTATGTTCTGTCAACTATGTAGGTTTTATTACATACATATTTATACTTATTGTTATATGTATTTCAAATGTATGTCATATGGACCTGTGGCCTCTGGCTGAAGAAATAAACGTACCATTTGAATTGTCCAGAATGTGATCAGAATCAGTGACATCAGTGATCACATTATCAGCAGAATACAATTCTTGCAAATGCGTCTCTCCAACACTTGATTGCCTTATTTCCTGAAACTTGTGTCTGAACCACAGGTATAACTTGAAATTGAATAAGATGTTTAAACATCCATCATCGTGTGTTGTCTTACTTCCTAATGTAATTGCAAATGAAATAATTTGTCACCAACACCTTCTAACCATAAGTCAAAATTACACTTCCACCAAATGCATTATTTCAGCTATAATTAATTCAGAGTTAAACTTTCAACAATTAAACATATTTTTGCAGTGTATTCCTTTTATATAAAACCAAGGGTAACTAACCTGCAATTCACCAATTCAACACCTTACTCTCATCACCTTTACACGGGTTGCAGGGTTGAGTGAGTGAGTGAGTGAGTTTAGGTCTACGCCACTTTTAGCAATATTCCAGCAATATCACGGCGGAGGACACCAGAAATGGGCTTCTCACATTGCACCCATGTGGGGAATCGAACCCAGGTCTTCGGCATGAGGAGCGAACGCTTTAACCACGAGGCTACCCCACCGCCCATGCAGGGTTGGGAGGAAGAGAGTCGTGCTTGAGAATATTTCGCTCATATGACGACGTGCTTGCATGCGTGTGTATGTGTATGTGCGGCTGCTTGTACTAGCCCAGACTTAAGCTGATTTTATAGTGCCAGCTCACTGAGATACCATGCCGCAGTGAAGCATGAATATCCCACTCAGACACAGTATACTGACTCCGAACCGACCAGTCCTTGTTGTACCCATTAATGCTGAGCGCCAGGCAGGGACCAACAAATACCATATTTTAACGTCTTTTGGTATGACGCGGTCGGGGATCGAACCCGCGACCTTCCGCTCTCCGGGCGGAAGCTCTAACCACTACACCACGGAGGCGGTCTTGTTATAGAGGGGGCGGTGGGGTAGCCTAGTGGTCAAAGCGTTCGCTCGTCACGCCAAAGACCCGGGTTCGATTCTCCACATTGGTACAATGTGTGAAGCCCATTTCTGGTATCCCCCGCCGTGATATTGCTGGAAAATTGCTAAAAGCGTCGTTAAACAAAACTCACTCACTCACTGACTCTTTGTTATGATAAATCATGGACTTATCAAGAGATAAACCTTTTCACGGACAATTGTATATTGATGTTTAAGGTGTTATAAATTAATGTCAAGCAAGGAAATAAAAAAAGGCATATTTAAATAGTTTATTTTCCGGATGTTTTTATAATTTGCATATTCTGCACTTGTTACATACGTGTCATCACACACATAGTCAACTTGAACAGAGACCTTTAGCGGTCAACACTGGGGGGCTTACCATTTTGTCAGGTGTATATGTGAATGGACTTGGCTTTAACTTTAGATAGTCAGCATATGTGGATGGATACTAGGCACTTAAAAAATCTGTTATGATCATTACCAATTATCATATGAAGAAATCACAGAACAAATACTCCCATATTCTCTCAACAAGTGTGCCATATGATACAATACATAGGATTGAAGGGATTTAAATACAACGGATTTAATATAACGTAGAAAAAATTATCCCAGATCCCACATCCCAGATCGCACCCTGTATTACGAACCCCTCTTCTCTGTTTGCACCATGGCGATCTCCTGACAGCTGGTCCTCATCATGCCAAACTTAGATTTGAATTGACAGGATCCAAGATTTTTGTGAGTTAAGAAAATACGGAATCCAAGTTGGTGTAATTGTCTAAGAGTTTTCAAATAACCCAAATAGATTTCAGCCGGGGGCTCAAGGATATAAGTGCCCTTTTCTATGATCCAGCTGTGAAGCTCCAGATCGAGAGTTGTGACGTCATTCAGGAAACCGCTCGCAATGGCTTCTGGGAGAACTTTCCATTCCCAATGTTCAATATCCATTTTTAAGACATCAACATGCCGCTGAAAGAAATACAACACTGAATACATATGCACATATATAGATACTAACGCCGATTGGTGTTGGCGCATTAAATTGTAACAAACGTTAAGTAGGTCATGGTATTTTAAAGGCACTATAGCACACCACACTTCTCTAAAAGTAAATAAAGCATTTCTCTCATTGATACTAACTGTCAGCCCTCAGGGAATATTTTTACGTATTTAGATTACAATATTAAATTAATAAGTTCGAATGAATTAATGCAATGTTGCATTAAATCAACTCTCGCGTCCTCTACCGACCTGAATAGTATTTCAAGCGAAACCCATAGAGTTATGTCCCTTGGAGCGCTCTTTACGAATATCTTACCTGTGAAAGTACGTGTTAGAATGAACCTTCAGTAACCCATGCTTGTTCGCCTTGTTTACAAGATAGCGAAACCACCCAGTCATTAGGTGTATTGCGTTGTGGTGTCACAATGTAACAGTCCTTCTATTCGTGTAATGGTAGCTATTATAACTGGAGATTGCAATATTGCAGCAATATCATGGTGGGGGGACACCAGAAATGGGCTTCAGACATTGTACCCATGTGGGGGATCGAACCTGAATCTTCGGCGTGACGAACAAATGCTTTTACCACAAGGCTACTCCACCGCCCCACTGGAGATTGTAAAATCACCGTATGTTGATCAGTCCATTCAGGATTGTTTTCTCGAGAGTGTTTTTCACCGTCATAAAGATTGAACTTTGCCGAGGGCAAACAAACTACTTGGAAATATTATTGTGCACTTCCCGTGTTTTTGAACGATCTCGGCACATTTTTATGTTTATTCTGTGCCATAACTTTTGTGTGCTCAGGATATGCTTTACTTAATTTTGTGTTTTCTTGAAGACATTAATTTATTTTGCCTCATGACCTTGATTCCAAATTTCGAAGTTTATCCAATTACCAACCCCACTTCCTTTCCTCAGAATATTAAATATTGTGTCCCTATAAATACGAGTGAGTATGGATTTACACCGCTTCAGCAATATTTCAGCAATATCACGGCGAGGGACACCAGAAATGGGCTTCACATACTGTACCCATGTGGGGACTCAAACTCGGGTCTTCGGCGTGAAGAGCGAAAGCCATTAGGCTTCCCCATCGTCTCCAATAGATATGAAAGGCAAAATTATATAAATATGTAATGGGGTCAGTCCAAAATAGCATACTAGTATTATAATTGCCAGGGTAAAGAAGAGAGTTGTCTTACCTTGGCGTGACCGAGCTCCTGCTTCATCGCCCCGAGTGTTCGCATTTCCCATCCTTTCTGGCCGGCTGGGATGTGAACATTCTTATCCGACATTCCTATATTATGGAAAAACAACTTTTCACGTCGCTTATAGCTCTTCTGGTTCATGCTGAAATGTGAATTAGTGAAAAAGTTAAGCATGAAGCAGTACTGACTGAAATCGTCATAATGAAAATCGAATTTATCAGTTAAAATATTTGGTGTGATTGATTATGGTTTAACGCCGCATGCAGCAACATTCCAGCAACATTCCTGCAACATTCCAGCAATGGCACAGCCCGGGAAACCCCAAACTGGACTCGCACAATGCACCCAGCCCATATGGGGATCTGAATCCGAGGTGAGCAAACTCTTTAACCATAAACACAAGGAGGGAAGCCTAGTGGTTAAAGCGTTCGCTCGCCACGCCGAAAGCCGGGTTCGATTCCCCGCATGGATACAATGTGTGAAACCCATTTCTTGTGTCCCTCGCCGTGTTGTTGCTGGAATATTGCTAACAGCGGCCTAACACTCAACTCATTCTCTCACTCACTTAAAATAAAACGGCAAAATATTGTGATGATACTAAAACTATTATTGCTATATAAATCAATCGATCACGATATTTTAGCAACTCTACACTGAAAGTAACACAAACGGGTTACCTACCTTGGATCAAATGAATGAACTTCGCATCCGTACTGCCTTGATATCTCGTCGTCAAAACTGAAGTCATTATTTATCCTGAAATAAAAACTACCATTTTTACGCACCAAATATTGCCCCCCGGACAACTGCCCCCCATCAGAACAAAAAACACACCAACTAAAAGTAATAGTTTTAAAATTGTATTTATAGCACTATGTAATACAACACAACATATCAATCTTCAGATTCACTTAGAGCTCATTTTCCAGAAAGTTCATAAATATCAATTCACTTAAAAGGACAGATTGTGGGAGATGGCTCTTAAAAATTCCATAGAGTTATATTTCTCAACAACACGTGCCAGTCTTTTGGCACTATCACTGTGTCCATCAGCCTATCTAGCAAAGGCCACATTATTTTATAAACTTCTCCAAGATTAACTTCCTCCAGGATCAAATGAGATAGCCAGTTTCTTACTAAGGCACTGTTTGTTGATATAATGTATAATTGAGTTTAATAAATCCTATCAAGATGGGGAAGGGGTGGGGGTGGGTGTGTCACTTTTAGTTTTGATGGGGGGCACTTGTCCTAGGGGCACTTAGCCTAGGCGGCAGTTGTCGGGGCACAATGGACGGGGGTGGGTGGGGGGGGGTGGGGGGGAGAAAAAAAAAGAAAGATAGCCAGGGGGCAGTTGTCCTGGGGGCAGTTAGCCTGATACCCGGATTGGAGTTTAGGAGTTTAGTTTTACGACGCACTCAGCAATATTCCAGCTATATGGCTGTGGTCTGTAAATAATCGAGTCTGGACCAGACAATCCAGTGATCATCAGCATGAGCATCGATCTATTGGGATGCGATGACGTGTCAACCGAGTCCGCGAGCCTGACCACCTGATCCCGTTAGTCGGCTCTTACGACAAGCATCATCCTCGATAATCTCCAGGGTATACGTTCTCATAAATCTCCACTAGTACCCTGGATGCATCTATGGCTCGGCCCGATAATTTTATTACCTACTTTTGTTGGCTCCGCATTCTCACAGCAGGCAATCAGCTAAGCTGCCGTTACAACCGAGCTTGCCAGTGTCAACAAAAATAGCGGTCGCAGTGCGACTCTGAATTTGGGGGAAGTCATACAGACAGAGACCATATACCGATATATGGTCTCTGATACAGACAAATTGAGAGGTCTGAAACCTTAGAAAATATATGCAAGAACTCTTTCTACCTCTTTCAGAGTACCTCTGCAACAATTATGTTGCCAAGTTAAATCGGTTATATAAAAAGAAGCGAAAGTGAGTTGTGATTGGTACGCTCAACTTCCCAGACACCTGATTGAATAAAAACAGCCAAGGGAGGTAATAAAATCATGGGGCCGAGCCGTAGATGCATCCAGGGTATAGTGGAGATTTATCGGAACGTATACCCTGGAGATTATCGAGGATGGACAAGCATGGGTTACTGAAGATCAATTCTAACCCGGATCTTCACGGGTATCCGAACAACTGTTTGCGTCCTCTACGGTTATGTTCTTTTTTTGAGTTAATAAAACCGGTTGACCAGACAAAATGAAAACTCGTCATTAATTTTGCTAGATAACAGTGTTAGCTGTGTTACACCGAAATGTGGCACCTATTGCAATAAACATTCTTGAAATATTTATACAAACGGATAACATATATATGACCGAGCTGTTGCAGCGTCTGTGGCGGCGGCTGACGTTGACGTACGCGTCGACCCAGAGTATCCCACAGGTGTTCAATAGGGTTGAGGTCTGGTGATTTAGAAGGGCTTATCCGCAAGACATTGACGTTGGAATTCTGCAGAAAGTTCATTGTTGAGTTACTTAGACACTATGAGGATAGGCGTTGTCTAGTTGAAGTGTCTGTTGGTCAATGTGAATTTATCGGGAGAAGGTGAGGCTGTAATACGTGGTTGATGTAACGATTTATCCGAAAGAGTTACTTAGGTTCCTTCAACGATCACCAAGTCTGATTTCTGGTTGTATGAGGATGGATCCCCAAACCATAACGCTTTCTCCGCCAAATCTGTCCCCTGTCGGACGCAGATGGGCGCAAAACGTTCATGACGTCTCCTATACACACGTTTTCTTCCGTCGTGACGTTGCAAAGAAAACGGGATTCATCAGAAAACCAGATGCGCCTCCACTTTGTAAAGTCCATATCCTTACGTTGTTGCACCACCTGAGTCGTCGGCGGAGATGTGAAGGGGCGTAGTACAGGTCCAACAACTGGTCGGCTGAATGTGAAGGGTTTAGCGAAAAGAGTTACTCAGACCTGGTATTTGTGTGGCAGGGTCACGGAGTTGGTAGGGATAGGCTCTTCGGTGAATGCAAGGTGATGGACCCGGATGTACCGATCTTGAAGGGGGTCGTACACCACTTTCGTTGGTCAGGATAAGCTTTAGGATAGGCTCCGTGCAACAGTTTAAGGATAGGCTTGGATACGACGGTGAATGTGAAGGGTTTATCCGAAAGAGTTACTTAGACACAGCTTTAAGGATAGGCTCTTGAATGAATGTAATACGAAAGCACAAAGGTTACTTAGACACTTTAAGGATTAACTGCCATTTTCATGATTTTCATGTGTTTTTCCCAAAGAGCTTAAGTCACCACTGGTGAATGTGAAGGGTTTATCCGAAAGAGTTACTTACTTAGACACTTTAAGGATAGGCTCTTCGGTGAATGTGAAGGGTTTATCCGAAAGAGTTACTTAGGCTCTTCGGTGAGACACTTTAAGGATAGGGTCTTCGGTGAATGTGAAGGGTTTATCCGAAAGAGTTACTTAGACACTTTAAGGATAGGCTCTTCGGTGAATGTGAAGGGTTTATCCGAAAGAGTTACTTAGACACCTTAAGGATAGGCTCTTCGGTGAATGTGAAGGGTTTATCCGAAAGAGTTACTTAGACACTTTAAGGATAGGCTCTTCGGTGAATGTGAAGGGTTTATCCGAAAGAGTTACTTAGACACTTTAAGGATAGGCTCTTCGGTGAATGTAAAGGGTTTATCCGAAAGAGCTACTTAGACACTTTAAGGGTAGGCTCTTCGGTGATATGTGAAGGGTTTATCCGAAAGAGTTACTTAGACACTTTAAGGATAGGCTCTTTGGTGAATCTGAAGGGTTTATCCGTAAGATTGAACAAGCCACTTGCATGATTGTTTCTCAGGTAAATGTAAAGGGTTCACCCGAAATAGTGCATTTGACACGTGCAGGAGGGGGCTCTACGGTAAATTTGAAGTAGACAAAACACTTGCTGCATGACTACAGACTGTATGTGGTAATGAAAAGGGTTGACGCGATAGGACGAACAGACCAGAAACTTGTAGAAGGATATGTATACAAAATGTGAAAGACTTACCCTACAGAATAGACCAGACAATTGCTGGGGGGACTGTATTGGCGGTCGTTGCACACTTCCCATCCACCGTCAGACAGATGTCCCATTCTGTTGATGTCTTTACACAACGCACCGACATTGTTCACAAACCTAGAGTGACATCAACACAATGGTTCAGCCAAGGCTGGGGTTCGCAGTTCGAGGAAAAGATTTAACTTTTCCAACAACAGAAGTAGCATCAATTTTAAAGATATCGTCGAATGCCTATATCTAAAAAACGGATATACATTGTTTTTCATAAATCACACACACTCGTCACATAGTTATATGGGTTTTTACACCGCTTTTAGCAATATTCCAGCAATATCACTGCGGGGGACACCAGAAATGGGCTTCACACACTGGACCCAACTGGGGAATCGAACTCGGGTTTTCGGTTAAAGCGTTCACTCGTCATGCAGAAGACCCGAGTTCGATTCCCTACATTGGTACAATGTGTGAAGCCCATTTCTGGTGTCCCCCGCCGTGATATTGCTGGACTATAGCTAAAAGCGGCGTAAAACCAAACTCACTCACTCACTTCGGCTTGACGAGCGAACGCTTTAACCACTAGGCTACCCCACCGCCCCAGTTATATGTGATACAGACAGGTGATAAAGAAGGTTACCTGTGATAGGATGAGGTTGCATTGGAGGGCTACAGACTAGACAGGGAGGGTGATTTTCTGCGATAAAAACAAGTACTAGACGAAGGTCATCGGCAATAGACAGAAGAGAGGAAGAAGGGTTCCTGTTATCAAGAGAGGTGATTGTGAATGGTGATAAGGAGAAGAATGAGATGATGGTTACCTGTGATTTTGACAGGTGAAATGGGAGACAACTGTGACAGACAGCAGACATGAAGAAGGGTTACCTGTGATACTGACACATCATAGAGGACGGTTACCTGTGATACAGACATGTGGGAGGGGATTACCCGTGATTAAGAAAGGTGAGAGAGATGTAACTTTTGATACAGACTTGTTCGGATGGAGGGTTACAGACAGGTGAGAGAAGAGGGCTACCTGTGGTACAGACAGGTGAGGGATTGGTTGGTTTGTTGTTTAACGCAGTACTCAGCAATGGCAGGTGAGAAAACAAGGCTACCGGTGATACAGACTGACTGACTGATTGAGTTTGGTTTTACGCCGCTTTTAGCAATATTCCAGCAACGTCACGGCGGGGGACACCAGAAATGGGCTTCACACATTGTACCCATGTGGGGATTCGAACCCGGGTCTTCGGCGTGACGAGCCAACGCTTTAACCACTAGGCTACCCCACCGCCCCACCGGTGATACAGAAAGTTGATAGAGGAGTGATACATATGATACAGACAGATGAGAGATAGGTTTTACCTGTGATACAGACAGGGGAGAGATAGATATATACTGTGACGGGTGAGAGAGGAGTGCTCCCTGTGGAATACACACAGTGTACAAAGTAGATTAACTCTGCTACACACATTATAAAGGAGGATTACCTGTGATATGGACAGGGGAGAGATAGATATATTACTGTGACGGGTGAGAGAGGAGTGCTCCCTGTGGAACACACAGTGTACAAAGTAGATTAACTCTGTTATACCACTAGGGTATGTTATGTCCATTGTTCTGGCAGGTTGATTTTCTGTGTATCAACCTTCTATCTGCACGTGCAGAGGTTGATATGTGGATAACAACCTTGGCGGTGCAGGAAACAAACTAGTCTGTCTCACAGTCCCTGAACCACATTATTTTCCCTACTGCCAAGCCCTCTCTGCAGTGCTAAACCCCTAAATAAAGCAAGTCTAGATTTCCTCAGGTTCTGAATCTCTGGTCTCCCTAGGGCTCCTTTTCAATATAAATGGGCTTGTTTGTTACTATCAAAATTATATATATTCAGAGACTAAGCCTTAGTCTAGAAACGAACGTGCAACAAGAAATGTACGAGTCCATCCGGCGCCCACGTGGTATAAGTAGGTTAGCACACACACACACACACACACACACACACACACACACACACACACACACACACACACACACACACACACACACACACACACACACACACACACACACACACACACACACACACACACACACACACACACAACACACACACCTGACGGCTCGCGCGTTGAAATCCATATCACCCTTGATGCTAACGTATACCTACACACATTATAAAGGAGGATTACCTGTGATGTGGACAGGTGAGAGAGAATGGTTATCTGTGATTCAGACTTTGAGAGAACAGGTTTACCTCGGGCACTGACATGTGAAAGGGGAGGGTCACCGGTACAGACAATGGTTACCTGTGATATAGACAGGCAAGACAGGTATTATACACTGAGGGAAACAAAAAAGGTATCACATGAAAGCACAAGTGTTCCTTTATTCTTTTCCAGGTTTCTTCATAAGCTTTGTATCGCACTGTGGGTGCGAATCTGAGAATAATGGAGGAACACTGCAATGAAGTGGTGTTCCCTTATTTATTTCCCTCAGTATATGTGACACAGACAAGGCAGGGACGATGGTTTCGTGTGGCAAAGGCAGGTGAAAGAGTACCTTTCATGCAAACAGATACGACAGCCAGTAACCTGTAACAGGTGAGAGAGGAGGGTTACCTGTGATAGGTGCAGGTGAGGGGTACAGTGAAATGATGGGGAATATTTACCTGTGATACAGACACGTTATTTGTTGATATGTTAACGTCTTTAGAACAGAATCCGGTGGTATGTCTATGAATCCATCTTTGTTCTTTGATTGTTCATTCAAGCAGTCTTGTGCAAGAAATATCTTGTTTTGTTCTCGCTGAAGAGAGAAGAAATAAACTTTGAAAACTCAAATCTTTGAAGGGAATTTAGAAGTGGAATGCATAAGATTTATGGATGTCAACTTCTTTATTGAGAATAACACGACGTTTCGGAGTGTATGCTTGCTCCTTCATCAGGTGATAAAGGAGCAAGGAGCCAATCATACACTCCGAAACGTCGTGTTATTCACAATAAAGAAGTTGACACCCATAAATCTTTCTTTTCTTATACGGAAACACATACAATTATTTAGAATTACCTCTGAAATAATGAAGACATATTTTATATGTGATAGACACACATAGTACCATGTGGGGGATCGAACCCGAGTCTTCGGCGTGACGAGCAAACGCTTTAACCACTAGACTACACCACAGCCCTATATCTGAATGAACAATATTGTATGTTCATTGTACATTTGTAACCTGCTTGATCATTAATTCAATTTAAGTCGAACTGAGAGACTCATCTCGTTTGTACACATACTGTCTAACACCGAAATGTGGCATCTATTGCAATAAAGAAGGTGTCTATCCATAAAATGTGTTCCTCTTCATCAAACTAACTTCTAAATGCCACATCAAATCCATTGTAATGCTGGTCTTGGATTTGTCGCAATTTATTAAAAAAAGAGTCAAGGGTTCACACTTCCACACTTGCTTAAAGGGTTCTCCGGTAAATGTGAAGGTTTTGCCCGAAAGAAAAAACTAGACAACTTCAGGAAGGGCTTTACGGTGAATGTGGAGGGTCGAACTGATGATTAATCTCGTTTGTACACATACTGTCATATATATGTTATCCGTTTGTATAAATATTTCAAGAATGTTTAATAAGTTTGTTGAATTACACTGTAGGCATGACATACGAGGAATTATGTAATCCATTCAACATGTTCGTAAAATACTGACGGACAAAAGAAAGTATGCACTAATGTTAGATGGTAAGTACAGTGAACTTAGATTATCACGAAGTCAAAAGGACCACTAATTATTATTCGTTATAGCCGTAGTTCGTTATACACATTTCGATTGAAATATACAGCAAGTGGCGGGTACAAAAATCAGTTTGTCATATCCGTTCGTTATAAGCATGTTCGGTGTAACTGTAGTTTATAATTATTTTACCGAAATCATTTTCCAATAATTTGACTAAAAATCCATTGAAATGCTGGTCTTGTATTTGTCGTAATTTATTAAAAAAGAGTTAAGGGTTAAAAATATTTTTTTTACACAAATCAAAGTTCATTCAAAGAGTGCATAAAGAGTCACATAATGATACAGGAGTCAGGGGACACGTCATCAATAGCGAGCGTGACCACCCCGGGCATCCATACACGTCAACACACGTCTCCTCATTGACGTCGTCAGTCGGCGGATGACGTCAGCAGGAATCCTGTTCCATAAGTCCACGAGAGTCTGTTCAAGTTCCTGACGGTTCGCTGGAGGTGGTACACGCTGTCTCAGCTGACGATCAAGATGATCCCAGAGATGTTCAATGGGGTTCATGTCTGAAGAACGCGCTGGCCAAGGCAATACGTTGACGTTAACGTTATGCAGGTATTCTCGAACAATTCTGGCGGTGCGAGGCCTTGCTTTGTCGTGCTGAAAAATGACTCCTCTTGGCTGTTGTCGTATAAAGGGCACCACAAAATGTCTCAACACCACATCTCTATATCGCTGGGCATTTATATTTCCTCTGATGATAACTAGTCTTCTTGCTCTCTGGTCACAAATGCCGCTCCGTACCATGACGCCTTCTCCATCGAATGGATGAACTTCTCGAACGCAGTTTCGCCCTCCTCCCCGTCTAAAGTGCCGAACTCTACCATCGTTTCATCTGTAAAGAGAACTCTCTCCCAGTCACATCGCCACCACCGACGTAAGTTCGTGGCCATTGCAGTCTGCGTTGACGGTGTAGCCGGGTTAAGGCCATTCCACGGAAGGGGCGGTTATCTCGTATACCAGCCATACCAAGTCGTCCAAGGACTGTTCGTCTGCCGATGGCGTGTCCTAGTGCTGACACCGCCGTTGACGTCGCCGTCACGAATCTGTTCCGGAGGTGGATCTGCCGGATGTAGCGCTCTGCGGCCGATGTTGTGACGTTTGGTCTTCCCGATCTTGGGCGGTCCTGGGTCTCGCTTGTTTGCTGGTATTTATCAATTTGCTGATGGTGGCCTGGCTGCAGTTGAAGGTCCTTGCAAGCTGACGTTGTGAAGCTACCACATTGGCCACAAAGATCGCCCTGTCTTGGTATATTCGTTGTGGTCTTTTGGTTAGTGCATGCTTGCTTTGTCCAACATCGGCATTTATTCCACAACCATTTGGGCCATTGTCCCACAATTACGTTTTTCAAGTTTTGAAAAATGCATGATTTGTGCGATGTTTCCGGACAGCTGCGTTGTTTTCGGGACCATGTTGTGTTTGGCGAATGTTTTCTGCTTGGGTTCAAACCGGTACCATCGTTTTTGTTTTTGATACAATAACTTTAAAAGTGATAACTTTCCTTTGCCTGGTAGTTTATTTTGTTTCCTTATTAGAGAATGTCTGACCAAAAAGCCTGTGTGTTGGCTTGATGTGGAAGGAAGCCCAAAGTCAAGCAGACTTTTACAATCTAAAGATCCCAGAAACAACAAATCAAGGAAAATAATCAAGGCGGTCCGAACCCTGGAGTGAGAGAGTGAATATGGTTTTATGCCGCTTTTAGCAACATTCAAGCAATATCACGGCGGGGGACACCAGAAATGAGCTTTACACATTGTACCCATGTGGGGAATCGAACCCGGGTCTTCGGGTTAAAGAACGCTTTAACCACTAGGCTACGTCTCCTGGACCGCACACCAATACACCATAGCACCATAGACAGCATGCTCCAGAGAATGTATACATTTATTAAATAATCCAATCGCGCGCATTCAATTCAATTCCTTAGGTCTAGCAGACCATACACAACGCCTCTATTCGCTCCTGAAATTAAACAAGTGGCTGCGAGAGTATTGTTTACATCGTTTAAAGTGAGTGAGTGAGTTAAGTTTTACGTCGCACTCAGCAGTATTCCAGCTATATGGCGGCGCTCTGTAAATAATCTAGTCTGGAACAGACAATCCGGTGATCAACAGCATGAGCATTGATCTGCGCAACTGGGATGCGGTGACATGTGTCAACAAAGTCAGCGAGCATGACCACCCGATCCCGTTTGTCGCATCTTACAACAAGCATGGTTTACTGAAGATCAATTCTAACCCGGATCTTCATGGGTCAAACCGCTTAAAGCACTATTGGGACTAAAAGTAAAATATCTGAGCGTTCCTGAAAACTTGAGAGTTCCTATATGTAATTACTGCTTATTTAACCCCATGCATATTGCTGTGATATGGCTTACCTGGTGGATGGGGAAATTTCCAGAAGAGGTAGCAATAGACTTTCCAGTAGTGTCCTGTTCACGCTGTGTCTTATGTTGCGTAAGGGTCAATGTATAGTTTTTCCAGATAAAAACGGCTAGAAAGGTTCCAATTAGAAGGGAAAGCGTCCATTTTCTGCTCCGGGTAGAATGAAAAAAATATTTGCTGCTTAACAACATTCAGATATGTGCAGTACACGGTGAGTACACTACAAAATAACACTAAAATAACAATAGTAAAATAACACTGGTATCCAACTCTTGCAATACGTAACACAGATAGACACAGGCATTGTGACAATTACATGCTCTGGATCCATAAAATCTAAATACCTGTCTTCTAAATGATTTCTTTTTAATTTACATTTCCGAGTCCCTGTTAATATTCAAAACCAGACACCAAGGGCAGTGCTTCAAAATCAAGATAAGAAAAGAATTGCTTTAGAAAACACAAGCATGGTTATTACAGGTGTTCAGAAAGCTACTGTTATGCATATTAATTCAGTTAGGGACTCACATTTATATATTTCCTTTTACAAGCAGAACACGTTGAGTGAGTGGGTGAGTTAATATTTAACGTCACATCAGCAATATTTCAGCCACACCGTGACGACAAAAAGTTATGTACTAAGAATAAAAAATTGTATTCTTATTTAAAAAGCTGCCAGCGAAGGACAGTATAACGACTAGAATATCACAAATCGATTAAAACTAGTTTGAGTTCAGTGTAAAATGTTAAATCATTTCAAACAACACAATATAAAATCGGGCTATAGATCGCCAACAACTGAAATTGAGATCACCATACTAGGGACCATGGGACTTACAGTACATTTGCTTCCTGCATGGGCCCTAGCTGGATTTACACCACCCCCTCAGCCGCTGGCGATGGAAGGGGAATTTAGCCATAATTTGAAATAACAAATATTTTACGTTTAAAAAGCATGGCTGAGCTAAATATGGATGAGAATATTTCATTTGAAACCTCCGGCTAATGCCGTCGGTTCCAAATGAATTCCCGTGCTTCAAATACTCAATAACACCCGGAAACTGGCCAACACATGATGTTTATCTCCTTTATAAGGCGTAATATAATCGGTATATTGATGGATGCTTTCATATCGTGTGTCTTTGACAATCAGAATTTCATTGAGAAAATTGACATTCTCGTTGACATTCAAATTGGGTTACCAGCTGTTTTTCTTTGTGTCATTTATACATACGTCACCTGCGTGCCCTGAAACTTTTCAGTCTTTAGAGTAACTCTGCTTTCATTGACCACAATTGCCTGAGATAGATACAGACAGATAGATAGATAGTTTATTTAAGTCTCACCTTATGTACAGCAATATTACGAACAAGTAAAAGCATGTACACAAGCCATTCTTGTAGAATTATGGGAGACTATGGTACATACATTTATATAACAATACCTTTCTTCACATGAAAGTAGAAATATATATTATATCTTTAAAATATGCAAGTATATAAAGACTAGATATAGGGCACAGAGTAGGCTACACAAAATTCCATCACTGATACGTATACAATGAAGCCCGACGTCGAGATAGAATATACTAAAGGGCTTTGGCAATGTTAAAACACATATCTTTATTCAACATTAAAAGCTGCCTTTCTGTACATCAGGTAATAGTGGAAAGTGAGTGTTTGTAAAACAAGCCAACATTCAAGGTCTAAACGCAGATCTGACTACAAAGGGCAATTGATTAAGACGTGCAGTTCACCCTCTACACAGTAATGTGTATACATAGGGCAGGTGCGCTGCTCAAGTTGTAGGAAGGGGCGGTGGGGTAGCCTAGTGGTTAAAGCGTTCGCTCGTCACGCCGAAGACCCGGGTTCGATTCCCCACATGGGTACAATGTGTGAAGCCCATTTCTGGTGTCCCCCCGCCGTGACATAGCTGGAATATTGTTAAAAGCGGCGTAAAACTGAACTCACTCACTCAAGTTGTAGCTAATGCACTTCTGCAGAGTTTAGGCATAGTCGCAGTTACGTATGTTTCAGTGCCATAACTAATGCGTTTCAATACAATAATATTGTGTCTGGAACGCAAACGGTCTTCATAGGGGCATCATTCTTTCTTGTAACAGGAGGGGCGGTGGGGTAGCCTAGTGGTTAAAGACCCGGGTTCGATTCCCCACATGGGCACAATGTGTTAAGCCCATTTCTGGTGTCCCCCCCGCCGTGATATTGCTGGAATATTGCTAAAAGCGGCGTAAAACTAAACTCAGTCAGTCAGTCAGTCTTGTAACAGGAAAATAAATTTCTCGAATATACGTTTCACTTTTCATTTTCCTCTTTTGTCTTTTGTGAAACACGTTATTTTACACATAACCAACATAACTACATTGATGATGTAGATATCCGGCATGATAATAAATATCTAAACTGTGTAGACATAAGAATATTTTCCTCGCCTAAAGAAATTTCCAGCTTTTCCAACCCCAGTAAACTTGGAACGAAATTGGCAATTTAAGCACCCATTGCAACTAAAAGAAATGCATTGGAAATATTCTATGATCACGTATTTGCCGGGGTATCTCTGTTTTAATTCATGCTTGAAAATACCTGAAAATCTGGTCATACCATACAAGAACGAGGTGCTTGCAATTGTGCGTACGAAAATATACGAAAAATTTAATGTGTCCTTATCTTGCAGACACGTGCCCATTTTTTCTGTGTGTCAAAAAGAGCAATAATCATTAAAAACTGAAGTTCTGATCTCAAACCGAAACACTGATCAACCGTTCCCACACCCCTACCCATACTCACGAAAGAAAATAAAATTGCACGTCTCTTTGGGTTGTGGGTTTTTAAAATGTTTGACTTGTCGTTCAATGGTTATTTAGACCATGTTAGTTTACGACCTAATAAAAGTCCTGGTCCAGATGGTATTCCACCTGAGATGTTTAAAGTTAACAAAATTGTTTTGCAGTCATATTTATGTACTTTGTTTAATGGCGTTTTTAGGTCAGGTAAATTTCCAGATCAGTGGTCACTTAGTATTATATTTCCATTGCATAAAAAAGGAAGCATTCATGAAGTAAATAATTATCGTGCTATCTCTCTTATGGATATTTGTGGCAAAGTTTTTACTTCCATTTTGAACAGGCGTTTGAAAGAGGTTGTTGACGTGTTAGATCTGTACCCTGAGTGTCAAGGTGGCTTCCGTAAGGGCTATTCTACGGTCGATAACATTTTTACACTCCAAAGTGTTATACAGAAATATTTGTCAAAAACAGGAGGTAGATTTTATTGTTTATTTGTTGATTTTCGTAAGGCGTTTGATTCAGTTAATAGAGATCTTCTTTGGTTTGTTCTGTTATCTAATAGTGTCCATGGTCCTATGTTCAATATCATTAGAGATATGTATTCAAAGACAAAGGCTAGTGTTAAGCTAAACAATTTAAA